CACCAACTGGTATAAAGATATAAAAAAACTTGAAGAAATTGTTAATCGTAATCGGCAAAAAAATCCATATGTCAGGATATTGGGGTTTTCTCTTTGAAGTATGGTACGATGAAAAGCCAGAAATTGGTATTTCTGGAAGGATCCAACAAATTCAGGAGTTTATTAATAAATCGATCGAAAGCAAGAGTAATGAAACAGAATCTCAAAGTATTGATTTCTTATAATTAATAAATTTAACATAATACATGCAATTCAATTATCTAAATTGTAGTTACTTCATTGATTTTTTCTTCGACAGTTTGGCCCATTTGATGAAGGGCTAAAAGCATATTCTGAGAATTCAGTTCCGAATCAGGAGTTGAAGACTTAATGCTTCAAATTTCCAGATAAAGGGATAACAGTATAAGCATGATTATAGATAAATAATCCTTGTGAAAGCATAGAATTTAGCATTGAGCTTCAATTGATACATATATCAATGTCACCTTTGCTTAAAATTTTTCATATTCTTTTGAAGTGTTATTTCATCATTAACGAACATCTTAGCGGTTTGTTTTGGATGATGATTTTTATAATGATTCAAGCGATCCTTGAACACTTTCCAAAGTTATAAAACAACCTCCTGATTTGTTTTTAACCACGTTGCTTTGTTTTTCCCAGGATCACGACTCTTGGGCACTAGGTAATATTCGCAACTAAACAAGCTAGTGTGGTAATGATGATGGTTTTTAAAAATAAAGCAACACGTGTATAGCGAGTCTTTAACGTTAACTCATGACATTTTATCATATAAAAATAGATCTGACTTTGAGTAATAATTGGTGCCGTTTGATAATAATAGATAATAAAAAGGGGAAGAGTTTGTTGTTAATTGATCAAATATCATCTAATTAAAGAAAAACTTGTCTTAATGCTTGCCTCGCCTCTCATTATTATCTTCGGTCCCTTCTTTGGCTTTCTTTAATGGTTAACTTACAGTAAAAAAATACACATTCAAAAAATGTCAGCCATCCTGGAAAACTTCCCTGAAGGAACCCAAGAAATTGTTCATTTGTGGGCCAGCGTTGTACGAACTTAACACGTTATTCCTGAGGATGAAGATGATGAGCTTTATGCTGGAGATCCTTTATTAATTATCGAGTGGAATGAAACCGGGCTTCAGCAAAGATAAGTTCGAAAGACTGCTGTGATCAATGGTAGGTCTAGAAATGAATTGTAACATTTATTATCCTTTTAATCCTTATGATGGGATTTCATAATTTCAGTTTTTTCTGTGCAGTGATTCGTAGCTTGCAAGATTGTCAACCATTTTCCAAAATGCCCAACCCCAGTCGGAATATATTTTTATATTGCTGATACTCCTAATATTAAAGCACGACAGATAGTTCAGTGGCAAAATTCCCGTTCTTGATTCATCCGGACCTCTGTTCTTGATTCACCATAATCTGCAATAATTTTAAATTTAAAAAACCTCTATTCTTGATTCAGTACAATCTGTGCTCGGTTTCTGATCACATGATAACCAATCAATAAGTCATATGTGTGGCAGCAACTATTAAAGGTTGATTTTATCATTTGGATTAGGTGAAGGGTTAGAGTGGAGAATAAGGTTATATGTAAAATTACTTCCCCGACATTTTATTAGAGCTCCATGTTTTGCCGGGCCGATCAAAAATTTGCGCATCCTTATTGGATTGTCATGTACATGTGATCAGGAACCGAGTACAGATTTTACTTTCGCATTCATGACATTCATGGTGCAGCTGAATCAAGAATAGGGGTTTTTTAAATTTTAAAATTATTACAGATCATGGTGAATCAAGAACGGGAATTTTGCAGTTCAGTGTGCTACAAATAACATATTCGAAGAGGCAAGCTTCTACATTGGGACGAGTGTATGTAGTAGTTGTGAGAAAAAGGGTACCTTGAGAGTTGCTGAAATTGATAATGTATTTAGTCTTTGATCATAGGTTTTAAAATAACAAATGGACGTTGTGGGTTATATAGCAATAACAATTGTAAGGTTTTGTGTATCAGCACTGTCGATGTAACTATTTTATTAAAATTATACAATGAAATTCGGTACATGATTGTAAACATAGGCTAAATATATAAAATAATCCGAACTCAATGCACTGTTATTTATTATTTTCGAAATGGCCCTTCCATAAATTTAAAATTGGTTTCAAAATAAATAACAGACGTCATAATGGAAGTCTGGTTGCCGGTAATATCTGATTCGAATTTATTAGTGTCCAATCTCGGACGTATCAAAAATGATAAAGGTAAGATCTTAAGGCTAAATCCCCTGTAAAGAAAAGATTATATACGAACACAGTTTAAAGTTAATGGTGTTTACAAAAGTAGCGCAGTTCATATTTTAGTCGCCTTCCTAATCCAGAAAATAAACATTATACGTATTAATCATATACATGTAGATGGCATCAAGCATGACACTGAACGTACAGTATTCGGAATCCTGGTCGTAAATCCAAACGAATTGTGTAAAAGACATCGGATGGGAATGTTGTTTAGATTTGGGATTCTATTGTTCTTGCATCAAATACTTTCGGCAATATTTCTTAATTTTGTAGCAAAAAGCTAAATGCTGCTGGAGAATGGTGTTGGATGTATTGTGAAGCTTACATAAACAAGATCCCGATGAAGAATGGAGAGAAATCGCAAGAAAATTTAGAGGTTCATCCTTGGATAGAATTCAGTTAATTAATGGTGTAATCACCCAGAGATCATTATATGCAGGATATCTCCGAGTCGGCCGAGTTCACAAAGATCTTGTTTATCACTGGGTTGCATTAGCATTTCTCCCAAAAGAAAGTAAGATGAATCATATTGATGAGAATTCTACCAACAACAAAGCGTCGAATCTTTGAATGGTGTACGCAGAGAGAAAATATTCAACACACTATATGTTGGGCTTTGTAGTAACAAGCTCACTCAACGCGCTGTTAAGCAGATCTTTGACAATGGATCTTTCCGAGAATTTTCATTCTTAACTGAAGCATGACGCATAACTAGGATTGGTCAGTCGAGTATCTGGAATGTATGTAAATGCAGTAACAATAAGCTTTGAGATATTCAATTACACAAGTCATCCATAGGAGCTCTGATTTTTTCCATGAATATGTTACACTAAGACAATATATTCAAATGTCGAAAAAAGATTTGTGACGGCTGAAGCTGAAATTAGTGATCCTTATTGGCTTATGATTTCTATTCTCTAATCTCATAGATCCATTTCAGCTTCAGCCGCCACAATTATTCTTCAATAAATATTAATATGGCAATACAATGAGAGACATCAAAAGCAATTTAATACTGCGCCACAGTGCAATTTGAAAATGCAGATCTTATGATGTTATATTATTTTTTCGTATGATTTATGACATAATAATTTTGTATTTTTTATGTGATTTATGATATCTATTACTGAGCGGGAAGTCTACGAACAGTTCTTGATCACGTGGCCTTCAAAATCCACACTCACGTGATCACGGAAAATTGACGTTAAAGGTTATTTTATCGTTTGGATTAGGATTAGGATTAGAGTTGTGAATAAGGTTATACGTAAAATTGTTTTTTCGACATTTTTTATTAATATTTCAGGCTAGATTTTGATATCTGTTTTCCACATTTTTCACATTTTTTATTTTCTTGTGTCAAAGACCACGTGATTCCACACTGTATGATTACAGAAGTTGTTTTGATCATGTGATTGCATTTCTATTGGTTGTTTTGTTCACATGATTAAATTTCTATTGGTTGTCCTGCTTATATAATTGATTAATTATGGCGCCAATTTTTGAACCTATTTATAAAATAAATCAACTTCAAACCAATGCAAAAATTTTTTATCTTTGCTCACTTCAAATATTTTTTATAGAGAATACAGATATATTAAAGAAGAATACTTTCTAAAAAAAATTAACTCTACATGTATTAAGCAAATATCGTTCTACATGTATTTATCGATCGTAAATTAAAAATGCTTAAATTATCAGTAACTTTTATAAACTTCACCATTTCACAAGAGCCAGAAAATCGAAATATGGTGCAGGAACTCTTAAGTCGACAATAGGTTTCAATTTTAAAATGCTACTACTCAACATAAAAGGCGAAATTTTCAAAATCTGACCGGTAACTTTGTTCTTTATAATAAGTTCTACAAATTTACCGGTCAGATTTTGAAAATTTTGCCTCTATGTTGAGTAGTAGCATTTTAAAATTGAAACATAGTATCGCTTTAAGAATTCCTGCACCATATAATAAATTATTCAATTCGGGCAACTTATAACATACTAGAATTGTCCTACGAAATTAGTACTATTATTTTTGGCAATTACATGAGGTATCTTCGAAAGACAATGTAACATAACAAAGACTTTGTCAAAGAACAATTATGCATTAGTTTAAAGATGGACGCCAATATCATGTTTATAATGTCGCAATGATCAAACAGTCGAGGCACCCATCTTTAATTGGTTAATTAAAAAAAAAGCAAACTGACTGTTGTTACTTACACAGATGATAGTAGTAAATAACTGTTGTCACTGTATACAGATGATAATTGTTGTCATTGTATACAGATGATAGTAGTAAATGAACTAACTTTATTCTCTCTATAAGATAGAATAAATATTTATGTCAATGGCTTATTATTTTTTCAGAACTTTTAATGAGCCATTTGGAGCTCGCATAATCAGGGAACTACCTTATTTGTTACATAAAAGATAGAGACTTCTACTGTGATACATTCTGAAAGCCACGTATATTATGTTCATTATACAATGTCAAATGAAAGAATTTTTGAAGACAAACCAGAACAGAGACATTTGCATACTTTTGAGAGTAAGGAATTTTTTGAAGACAAACAAAACAGAGACATTTACATACATTTGAGAGTAAAAAAGAAATTAATATATACAAGAAAAAAGATCTTATGCGATATTCAAATAGCTAATAATAACAATTTATTGCATGTATTACCATTGGACTGGGAAAGAGTTGTTATTATCTGCTGGTTGAGTTGGATTATTCATTTGTAAGGCGCAAAAATTGTCAAATTGATATTGCAAAGTTTCGAGTAAACTTGCAACTTGATTTTCAAGTTGTGCTACTTTTTTTGCTAATACTTCTGAGTCAACAATAGGATTTTGAACCGAGTTAAGTAAATTGGTATGTTTTTCTATACCTTCCGATTGATGAACAATCAAATTAGGTTGTTGTGAGACAATTGGTGACCCTTGTTCGACCGTGTTCCGCTGTTGAGAATCAATAATAGGAGAAATGGGATTAATTATGTTTGTTGTTGTAGTCGTTAATAATTCAAGGGACCAAAAATTTTGACTGGGATTAAATGTTGAAGTTCGTAATTGAGGCACGCGTGAAAAGAGATTTTGTCTCTCGAGATCATCTTGACTTAAAATCGTTGGATCTCGATCAAATGAAAATTCATTATTGTATTCATAAGAGTTTGAGAACTTGTCTGGTGATGTGTTTTGGTGTTGTTGGTAGACTATTTGAGAAGAAGGTAAATCAAGGCAAGGTCGATATTCTACGACTTGTAATGGAAGATTTTCAGTGCAAATTTTTTCAAATTTCGTTTTCGCTTCTATTATTAATTGATAATATCTTGCTTTTACATGCTCAGGCTCTCGAAGCCAGAATTTTGTGGCCATAAGCGAGAGGTCTCGCATTGTTGGATTATTTTTCGCGTCATAAAACTGTTTTTGGAAAGCCATTCTATACGCCAAGAAAGCATTTGGCGTTTTAGAAATTTTATTTTTTCGTAGTTTTTCAAGTGCATTCGCCATTAATTCGTCAACAGTCAATTGAGGGGGAAACGGTGGCTTCTTTACTGCACATGAAAAATTAATTTTTCGTGAGTTTTGTGAATTTTTAGCCATTTTTTTTTGATGTCGTAATAATAATTGGAATACTAGTCATAGCAGTGTTCTTGTGGTAGAGAAGATGCGTAGGGCAACAGCCTTGATTATATATAGAAAATTGTATAGAAAAGGAATTTTTATTATAAACTTTAATTAGAATAGTATCTTAATATTTTATTTATTTAAGAACAAATAAAGATGCAGAGTTCTAAAACATTATCTAATTACTGACAAGAAATTATTAAAAGGCATTCGGAACATATGGTTTTTTCATGCCTCGCACAACAGCTTCTATGACACTTAGTTACATCATAAACATACTGCTATTAATAATTAACAAATTATATGCAATGAACATTTCGGAAGAACGATTCTTTACTTCTGCTTAATACGTATGTTGGTGTTTGGTGTGCGTATATTATCAATTGTAACACAAAAAAGTTTGCCCGATGCAAGGGTGCTCGAGCCTTCTATTACGAAAGTATTGAATTGATTAAACAAGAAAACAATAAGTATTTGCTTATCAAGCTTTGTAGAAAATAAAATCTTGCTTGTATACCTTAAGCGTTACTTTAGAAACATGCAGAAACAAACGATTATAATATGTATTGACCCTCTATATATTATTTTCACCGATCAAGCTAATCGATAGATCGATTTATTATTTTTCCAGTAGAATTATTGAAACACACAGTCAATGCATTTTTACATAATCACACTTTCTTCGTGGCTCTTCACGAGCAAAGCTCTTCGTTAGATTTGATATTAGGAGAATTATCTAACGGCGTAGACAGCTCATTATTTCATGGTTCACTAACAGTTGATTTAATGGAATTGTGAAATTTCAAATAATAAACAATCATGTACGAAATACAAATTATTTGCTGCTCTAAATGAAAAATTATGTTATTCTATAATTAGAAAACCAATAAAGTTCATGGACTCAAGATTACCCCCATTTGTCTAACAAACGTTTTGACCCTTTTTCTGTTGTTTTGCAGAGGAAAAAAAACTAAAAGCTTGAATGTTTCAATCTCACTTTTTCTCCTTTCAACCAGATAACTGGTACACAAGAAAAAGAGAGAATTCATTCTTTAAATTAGACTACTAAACTATTAGTAGTTCTATTTTGTTTTGTTTATTAAGAAATGCTTAACTGTTAGGCAAATTTGATAATGCCAATTTTAAATTATTATTAACCAAACAAAAGAGACAATTCTTGTCACTTTATTTGACCAAACTGTGCCTCTACTCTATCCTTACAAAATCTGATAAATCGCATGCATAGAAGTTTCTCTCTGACTTACGTAAGCAGAAGGAAGTCAATTGGCGGTTTTCCGTTAGAGAGTATCATTTTCCGAGCATCAGCATATATATACGTAGGAAAATCATTACGTAGTTCCTGTATATCCAAATAAAACCTTGAGGGATGTTACATTTTCACAAATCTCGATCAATTTCTTGTTAATAAGATGTAGTATGTAAATCAATTCTAAAATAAAAAATCATATGAATTCCTTATAAAGTTAGGATTGATTCATTCATTATACAAATATAGTAATTAATCGTCAATTGTAGCCAATGGAAATGAAGAAGATGGATAATTTCGTAATCTATTTTTCGCATACATATACCATATTTCGTAATCTTGAGTCTTGTAGATCAGTATATCTCCTCCCTCTTTTTTACTAATTAACTTTGTTCATGGAATGAAACGTACCCGGGTATATGTGCGTTGATTAGCTAATGAAAACAAAGATAGACTTTCGTAATAAATTAATTATCTGTGACGATAACAACGAGTTTATTGATTTATCGATGCAACAATAAATTGTTGTTAGATTGCTAGTTAGCAATCAACTTCTTCTACTTCTTTGTCAGGGGAAAGGCCGTTGATCTGGTTGAACTAAAATATTTATTGATTTCGTTCCATAAAAAGCAGCTTTTGAAGCTACTTTAATTCCATGATAGGTATTAACGAAAAAAACATTTCTTCCGTAATATTTATATTTGTCGTAGCACACATCAATCTGAATAGGAAATTTTCCATTTATGTTCTGTAACATTGCCCCCGACTCTTCGTTGCCTCCCGATTCTTAATTTGTATTACAAGAAAGCATATTGCATAATTTGATAAAAAGTTGAGATTACGAGATTCACAGGTGGCTTATGTTTTATTACTGGAAAATAAGGAACCTACCTCGATTGCTAAAATTTACAGCAAGCACACTCAACCTTTTTTCTCTTCGTTTCGGATTCTAAAGATGGAGACGCAACATATTATCTTATATCGTCACCTATTACATATATAGTGCACTATGTACATCCCAATCCATTTTGATTATGCGCAGCTATAAGAATGCGTAAATTTTTGATCAACATGGCAAAACAAGAAGATAAAAGGAAAAAATACAGGAAACAGATGCTTAAATCTAGCCTAGAGCATTAATTAAAAATGTCGGGGAGACAATTTTTCTAACCCTAACCCTAACCCTAGTTCTAACCTTTTACATTAATTTTATTACATTACAGGAGAATATTCCGGATGTATCACTAACCATATCGAGATTATATATTGCATCTGTATAACGATAATAAATTCAAATTTTAAGTGAAACAATAACAAAGGCAAAAAGGCAAATGCAACCAACGTGATATGATACATCGAATGTTCTGTACAACTCAAAATTTTTTGCACATGGTTATTTTTCGATAAAGAACTTGTCTAATCAAAGTAAATGATTTGTTCAGATGCAGAAGAAAATATAATTTTCATTTATCGAGATAACTAAAAGATTGATTAAACGAACACATGATTTATGTATCAATGCCAAATGATACAGTGGAAATTACCTATTATAAAAAGACTTGGTAAATTTAATTATAACCAAAATGGCAATCGACGTGTTTACACAAATACTCAAAGATCACGACTCCATTGAAGATCTTTACCGGCTATTTCAAGGAGAAACTGATCCAAAAAACCGCGAAAAAATTGGCAATGACATAATTCGTGAAGGTTGACCAAAGTCTTATATTAATTTTCGACTCATAATAACTAAGAATTAATGCACAGTATTTATGATAATCCCCATTAGCAACAGTCCACACGTATACCGAAGAAATAGTTGTCTACCGTGCCTACCAAGAATACATGCCAGATGGAAAGAAATATGCACAGGATTCTTTAAAGGAGCATGAAGATATTAGAAAGATGCTAGCTAAATTAGAATTTTTGAAAGTCACTGATCCGGAATATGCCGAGATGATGGATCTTGCTATGAAGGTTTGTGGGACATAATGGTTTTTATTAATTATACGAATGAATTCATTTAGATATTTTCTATTTCATAAGGAATTTGTGAAGCACGTGAAAGAGGAGGAAGAAGAAATTCTTCCGAGATTGAAGAGATATTTAAATGATGAACTTGTTGATGATCTTGGTGAAGAATACGCACGAATCAAACCTACTGTTCCGCAAAAGGTTATTGAATTTTTTTTCACTTTATTGTCTCGACCGGAAAAGAGGAATTAATAGTGTATTTATTTTTTTATATATAGCCAAAGATACATGATTAGATTTATATCTGAAATGATATATATACAATTTAATAATTCTACTTAAATAAAGAGTTCCTATATTGATAATGAAAGAAAATCTCGGAAATAAATGATTTACTGTCTATATAGCACTATTTAGGAAGCAAGCAATGTACATTCAAACAATGCAAAAAATTTGTCTCGTAAAATAATATTTAATGCTATTATCCTTAGTCAATAAAATAAAATATGCAAGAAAGCATTTTCTGCAAATTCTGCAAATACAAAGAACTAAATACATCTATACTATTAGAAATCAATTGTTCATTGAATTCATTGACCATGAAAAGTATCCATCATTTGATTCGACCCAATTAATCCCTTATAAATTTTTGAGTTTGTTATTGGTCCACTATAGATGGAATTTTGCTGTAATATTCGTTTTCGATCTTTTTCCTCCAACTTCTCCAAGCACGATCGGTAAGAGATGTTGAAGTCGAATTAACGGCCTTGCAATACGCGACAATATTTCCTTTGAGGAAGTGTTGATCAAATTTAGGAGTGCCGTCTTCGTAAGTCTCTTTGGACATTTCGTCTACAAGCTGGTGAATTCTATTTTGTCTAGTTTTTCTCTTTTCGGCATTTTCTTGTAGGCGAGCACTTCTTTCGCGTGATTTTGAAGTTTCACGTGCTCTTTTGTCTAGCATGATACGGTGTGACTTTTGGGTGCAATCTTGTAGCATTTTAAGTTTTTCTTCAGGACTCGCCGCGTTGTATTCGTCTCGGAATTTTTCGACTTGAGGAAGCCAAAAGTATCCACTGTCAGCTCTTGAATAACAAGGAAGTGCAGGATAAAAATAAAGTGGTATCTGATAATTTGCCATAATATTATTAAAACTATGAGAAATAAAATAGAGATTAATATATAAAAATTATATGACATTAAGATATCCAAGGATGTAATGAGCAGACCTTGCAATATTTGCCTTGAAACATTGGTTGCAGACGCGAACTAAGAACTCCCAATGAATTGATGCACCAGTCTTTTTGCCGCAGAGTTGGCATCCTTTTTCCACAATCAACCGAATGTACTTACGTTCACTCATGCCATCAGGTGGTCCAACATCAAAAGTCGACAGAAAAGTGTGTCTAGCTTTACGCCAGATCAATTCAGTAGAATCTGATTCCTCCGACGACAAATATTCATTGAAGAGTCGACAGACTTGTGCTAGTGAAAGCAGATCAATAGGAGGAAGAAATTTGCAAATAGTTATGAAAATCTCGGGGGCGATTTGCGTGAAATTCACATCTTTAGTAGAAAACAGAATCGAAGTGATTTCCGTTTCTGACTCTTTTGTCTCCACTTTTGTTTCTGGTACTTTTTTGGTGATAGGTGTGGTTTTATTGTTCTTTGTTTGTCGTGCTTTTTTCTTTGGTGGTTCTTTACGTTTACGAACCTCTTCTTTCGCCTTTTGTGCTGCTTTTCTGGAACTCCTGAGACGAGGTGGCATTTTCGTATATAAGAGTATAACTGAAGATAATTGGTTATATGAAATTTTTACTGTTATTTTTCTTACTCTTTACTTTGCAGGAGTAGGAATAAGAAAGTGGACAGGCGTATTTATTAAGGAGAGAATAAATACAAACAATTCTTTTATGAACAGAGTAAAAAAGAAGGATAACAACTTTCAGAACGAAAGTAAGTGAGTTAAATAGATAATTGAACCTGAACTCTTATAATCAATCACACGCGCACAAACATAAATCGCTTTATTATATCTTTTCCATATAAAATTATTCCACGATAGAATAACAAATATGCATCATCAGAATCATCGTAAAGTTTAAATAATAAAGGATGAGGATGATATATATGAGATATCAATGCCTGCTGACTCGATCAATTTCCTTGCACATATATAAAGACCTTGATCTTTCCTGCTCTGTCTAATTCGTAAGAAAAAGAATAACATAATCGTTGGATTATGTGCTTTGATGCAGAGATACATGATCATAATTTTGTTTAATTACGTACATATATGATATACACAATATTACCGGAAATTCCAAAAATGGATCTTGGAACCCAATATCTCAATACTAGATTCGTATAGTCGAGACGAATCTAATGGTGATATCATTGTTCGAATGGGATCATCGGGTGTCGAGATATCGGGTTCCAAAGTGACCTTCGTTTTGTAATATATTGTAGGGTGTGTATCAAATGACGTGTACGATTGCTATTATTTCATCATAGATGTCATAACTTTGGATGTTAATTTTTAATATTTAAATATAGCTTTAACAACATTTTTAGCAGCAAGGTCTTGGAATCACCTCAACATCTTATTATGAGTTCTACAGCTGCAAAACTTTATCAACATAGATCATACCATCTTTCGTGTTTTGCAATCTCTGTAGTAAAAAATTATTCGGTGTAAAGAAACTTGTAATTTTACGTAATTGTAACATAAGCAATTCCATTCATCAAGGTCTCGTATAAAAAGCTATAAGAACTAAAATAAGTATTTTTTTCATTCAATCGGTAGAATATAATCAGCCACCACAGAGCCTTCAAAGGAAGAAAGGATAATCTCTGACCTTTTTGACAGCCTACACGCATTTGTATTTTTTCCCTTTGATTTTATATGTCTAAGACGACGATGCAGAACACTTGTTAGAGGACTAACAATGGGTTATGAACCATAATGGTGATTCTATTAGTAGTGCTCTCCCTACACACTACAAGCATATGAGAAATAACGAGTTAAGCTACTTTGATATCTTTGCGCCAAGATTTTTGATACCCATCGCCATTAATCAAAACAGTACGTAATTAATATGTCATTCCTAATTAGGATTCGACCCTATACGTAAAATTGAGGAGTGAATATTTTGAAGTTAGAATTCGTAAAATCAAGGAGTGAATATTTTGAAGCTAGAATTCGTAAAATCAAAGAGGAATAATTTTGAAGCTAGAATTTTCGTCTTATTAATTTTGCTTTTTACACGAGTATGCAATAATTTTATACTTTACGTAACGGTAATATGATTGACTAGCTTGTTTTTTAAGCATTACAAATAATCAAATATATCACGGTTCACAAAAGATATATCAGAATTTCTACCTCCTTTACCAAAATTGAAAAATACTTCACTCCCCTTCCACACACTAAAACAAACCAACCAACAACGCGAGAGCGATGCCAATTCGTTGGACACCCTCAAGTTTTTCATTTTCTGGTTTTTTTTCATCGTCGCTTTCTTTTTTCCAATGTTGGGATTTTGCCCTAAGTAAAGGCAACAGTAAGGAACGAAGAAAACAATTATCAAGTACTTCGAATATGTCTCTTGTTGATTTTGACGTGGGTGTCGCACGATTGCAAGGTGATCGTAACTCGCAAATGGATAGATTCGATATCAACCATAACTTCTTTCATGATCGTGGTTACTCGTTGTTTTTACTGTATGATGGTCATGGGACTGGACATTTCTCTAAAGTAAATTTTTCTTCTCACTTGCTTGACCCTTATCACGTGTATTAATGTTTTCTATTTCTATAAATTCCTTTTAATTATACATAGCATGCTAAAGATCATTTAGCCGACTTTATTTTAACTGATCCAAGTTTCTTAAAGGCTAATTATCGAGAAGCCATCATTAATGGATTCAAAAAAGAAGACGAGGCATTGTTCGTTATGTACGGACCCAGTCATAAAGGTGGCACTACGGCTACAGGTAAACGATTCGATATGTTCAGACCCAGTCATAAAGGTGGCACTACGGCTACAGGTAAACGATATTTCAAATAGCTTTACAACTTTCTAAAGAGTAAAAATAAAAATACCTATTCTTATTTTTAATTTTTTTTCAAGCGGCCTTGTTCTTTAAGAATAGGAATCAGTTTTACATTGCTAATGTCGGCGATAGCACGGCAGTACTGGGATCAAAAGATGGATCGAAAGCCGAAGCGATTCATCTTACTTATGATGATAATCTTGACAAAGAAGAAGAAAGAATTCGGTACAAATTTTTGTATCTATTGATCATTAAAAATTAATAATTATGACTTACCTCTGAATACAATATTAGACTCAAAGACGCTCGAGCTCAAGTGAGAAGAGGTCGTATTATAAGAGCTGGCTGTTCAGTTAATATGACACGAGGTGGGTTAAGATTATTTAACGCGAGAACACAAGGAAAAATTTCACTAATAATGTTCTTAACGATTAGCTCTTGGAGACTTCGACTTTAAATCACCTCAAACTGGAACCGGGAAAGACTGGATTTCCCCTATTCCGCATATAGACGTAGTCAATTTGATCCCATTTGAAGATGAATTTCTGATTATGGCATCAGATGGTTAGCATACATAATTTATTTTTTTGATTTAGAATTTACTTGCTTATTTAACTATAGAAAAAATAATAGGACTCTGGAATGTTTATGACGAACAAACGGTCGTTGAGGCAGTGACTGAAGGCCTGGATCTCGGATACGACGTTCATCAAATAGCTGACGCGTTGGCTTCTTCGGCTGCAAATGCTACGTCAAAAGCCGATAATGTTACTGTTATGCTCGTATTTTTCGTTTGGGAAAAATAAATATTAATTTATTTGGTGACAGTAATATAATATTGATCATATGATTCCAATTGGCACACGACATACTACATGTATATTTTTATTAGCTCATGATTTTCAGACAGTTTTCCGCATAGTACATTATTGAAACTCAGTTTTCTTAAATTACAACAAGTTTTCAGACCAGTTCATGTAATGTAATTAAGCGTTTGAAAAACAAAGAAAAACCTTAAATATTTAAAATTAAATACTTTTTTTTGATACACTGGAAAAAGCAAATAGATCAGAAGAGAATTTTGTTCAGGATTTAGGTTTTTATATCCATTACCGTGACCGTTACTACACTCACCATAGTAGAGTCAATATCTCCCCAAAAAAACGACAATTCAACTCCTTTGTCTTAATCATACGTATATCTTATAGGCGTACGCGCATGCATGCATGCGCACATGCATCAAATGATGATTATGTTATTGATTCCTTGGATGATTGGACCAATATACTGTATATATATCACTTTAGTTGTACAAATACAAGTGATAAACACAGCCTTTCGCTTTCGTGCGAAATTAGAAAGTGAATTTCTCTTTTTTACTTAGCTTAAATGTTTTTAATAATGCACCATTTTAAGAAAGCATGAGAAAAGTATGCGTAATCGGGAGGATTTTGTCGCAGAATGATAATACATGTATTAAAATACGACAATCAATCATATTCATCATTTTATCACTGAGCCGAAGTTTTTTACTGCGTCATTGGCCATTTTAATTCATATACGTAAACAACAATACGTGACACGCATAATAAAGTGTCAAGTTAACATTGTTGTTGCACAATTAGGTTTGGTCGGGGTATAAATATATAAAACGATCATGTAACTTTGCCGTAATATTACCCGCCTTTTTTTTTCAATTAATATCGATATTCTCTCTTGTAATATAAAAATTAGAAATATAAATTTAGAGTTCTTTTCAGGGAAAAAAATCAATACAAATCTATAGACAACAAATAAAGAAAAATAGTATACAACAACAAAGAAAAATAGATACAAATATACAAATAAAAAAATGATGGCCACAAAAGTAGCAACAACAACAATGCGTCGTCAACCGTCAATGAGAAAGACTTCAACACCACCGAAAAAAAATTCTCGGCCAACGACACCAATAAAAAGACCAGCTATAACATCGACGACGTCATCAAAGTCTTCGACAACAAAGTCCACCCCTACTACCAATACTGCTAATAATACAACGTATACGTGGACAATTGCAAAATATCTTGACCACAAAATTGTATTGCAACACTTTTTTCCACATCATACAGACGAAGAATTTGGAGAACTTCGTGAAAAATACACTCCGAAAACGCGTGCCGATCTAATTTATTGTGATGAACCACCACACAAATGGGTTGTCCACGATTGGTTATGTAATTTACCAGAGCAAGAATTATTTAATGTCATTAACACACCTGATATTGGATTTGAGATTTACTTTAATCGGTTAAAAGCCTTGAACATGATTAAAAGTATCTTTAGTGGAACTGGAGCAGATCATGATATCGCTGAAGGTTGGTATATATTGTCATTCTAGATACTGGTTCGGATTGAGGTTGAATTAATGGTGATTCAAGTATTTACTCGAATATAATCTCGATTTTGTAGTTGAAGCCGCAGCCGACAAACAAGTAAAAGCTAAGTTTGATCAGTTTAAACCACCAGAAAAGCAACAGGTACATTTTTCTACTTCATTACAATCTACAATCAAAACGAATTCACTAATTTTTTTTAATATTAAATGATAAAAACAGCGATTAGAAGAACTCTTTTTCCGTAATGTAAAGCGCAACAAAACAAAGGGTGTCTCAGTGAAAGAAGATATTCGCATCATCAGCATTGTAAAAAAATCAGGCAGGTATCAATTGCCCAAAGACAAATTTATCAGTCTATCTTCCAGATTGACTGCATAAACAATTGCAATATTTTCATATGACTTGTCACACTACACCTTTTATGGTTATATTACCCTTAAAAATATGCTTAGTGAGCTTTTTCTCTTCTTTCATCTTTATTTTATGCTTTTCCGCAATAGAAAACAAAAATACTTAGACATACTGTCAACTCTGTTTATAACGAACTAACGGTTCTATTTCGTTATATCAAATTTGTTGTATTTTATATAACGAACTCGTAGTCAATTTAAACATTATCCGTGTTCGTTATAAAGATGTTCGTCACATTAAATACCGCGACACTATCTATATAGACATTTAGAATTATTATATTTATATATACAGAACATATTGCAGCAACAATATGTAAATTCAAGGCAGGCTTTGATTAATATAATTAGAAGTTATACATTATGATAAAAAGATATGAAAACGAACAGTATTTCGCTTTAGCATAATGAAAAAATTTGATATGAAAAGTAGCATAAATGAGTGTTTGTTAAATACGTATATAGAATTTTGTTTTATTCTAATGAAAACTAAATATAGCTCACTTCATTACGTATGAAGTTGGAAAAGTGTTGAAACAAAAAATTGTCTTAAAACATATCTGAACAAAATTGGCATGTAAAAAATGTTTCTGGAAAAGTTTTTCATGAAAAAATTGTTTCGAAAGATATTTTTGAATAAGATTATTATAAAATAATTATTTTAAACATGTTTCTGAACAAGATTCTCATGGAACATGTTTAAACAAAATTATTATTACAAAAAATATTTTAGTTACTTTAAACATGTTCTAAATAAAATTATTATTTTAAAAAAAACTTAAAATATAATTGTTTTTCAATATAAATATTTCAAAATATATTTCATAATAAAATAAAATTTTTTTATAATTATTTTTATTATAATTTTACGTATAATAAAATTATTTTTTATAATAATATTTATAATAAAATTCTGATTTAAAAAATTATTTAATTTAATAATATAATTATAAAAAATAAATTTTTTATATATAGTAACTGACAAAATTATAAAATTACATATATAATTTTATTAATAAATATAGTTATATTTTAACATATATTTTTATTGAATTTTTTGAATTTAATTTGATAAAGTTACTATTAAAATGTAAAATTAATTATAAAAATTTTTGTAATAACTTTGTAATTAGAATAAATTTATTAAATAAATTTAAAAAATTTAGAAATATATATAATAATCAAAAATAATGCAATAATATTAAAATTTATTAATTAAATATAGTAAAATACAAGTTTTTCTTTTATATAAAAGTTTTCAATTTTACTAATAAATATTTATTTTTACATTAAAATAAAATAATATTACATATTTTAATATATATATTTTTAGATTTTTTAGATTTAATCTAATAAAATTGTTCTAATTATATATAAAATTAATTATTTTTTTATATGTTTTAATTATAAAAAAATAATTAACTTTATATGCAATTAAAATAACTTGATTAAATTAAATCTAATATTATCTTTATTTTAATATAAAAATAAAAAATATTTATTAATAAAATTGAAAACTTTTATATAAAAAAATTCATATTTTACTATATTTAATTAATAAATTTTAATATTGTTACCGTTTTGAGCTTTTGCGTATGAAAGTATTTCAAAATGACAATAGTGACTGTGTTCACGGCAATTTTCTTTGAATATTATAACTAAATAGTGTTTATGACGATAAATGATGTTTCTTGACAAGATAAAAGATGACAAAAATAAAACTAAACTAATAACAAGACTAAACTAAAGGTAAATTTAACCAAAGAGTACTTATAATTCCAAAATAAAA